TGCAGGTGGCGGATAGAGGAGCTCAGCGCTCAGCGGTGGTCGCGGTGTCCACAAGGAGGGCGGAGGTGCTCGTGTCAGAGAGAGGAAATGGGGAGAGAGAGCGGTGGTCGGTGGCTCGCGTCGGAGAGAGGAACTGGGGAGAGTGAGCGGTGGAGAGAGGAACTGGGATTTGAGATCTGGGAGAGAGGAGCTGGAGAGAGATTTGGGGAAAGAAAAATGGAGAGAGGCGCTGGAGAGAGAGATTTGGTCACGAGAGAGTTTTTCTTGGGATTTGGGGAAAGAAAAATGGAGAGAGGCGCTGGAGAGAGAGATTTGGTCACGAGAGAGTTTTTCTTGGAAATGGCGGAGCGAGGCATTTTTTCAAATCACCCCCTGCAGCGCACAAATCTCATGAGCTGCCAGCGCACCCACAGTATTCTCATATATATATATTTGTGATTTCTCCTTAGGTTTTTAGGTGAGCAGGTAGGGGGAAATTCGTGGCTGCGGCAGAAAAAGCAAAGGAGCAGTGCGTGGAGATTTTGGCGGCTGCAAGTGAACAGCGGCTGCAGGAGAGAGAAAGTGCAGGAATTTTCGGCTGTAGATATTTTTCAGCAGATGAAGATTTCCTTTGTGTAGTCTCTTCTTTTGGTTTTGTGATCTCTTTGAGAGGTATTTTGTGAGAGAGTTGAGAGAGTTTGTTTGAGGGTTTAGATTGTGAGTGATTGTAAACCCTAGTTGTATTCTCTCCCTCTATTAGTAGATCTCCCCCTCCTTGCCCTGTGGACGTAGGCAAATTGCCGAACCACGTAAAAATTGGTTGTACTGCTTTTGTGTGATTTGTAATAGCTTTTAGGATCCCTCGACAGGTCAGTCCTAGAACTGATGAGAGGAAGAGCCGATATCTCACTTGGTTGAGATATCCGCTTCAGATTCTTGTCTCCTTGGTGAGACGGGAATTCTTATTGCGATCTGACTCTCTTGTTGTGCTGTCGAAGTGCTGCCGAAATTTCCGCTGCGCGTAACACTTCTCTCATCGATCGTCAACTCGTTTGATTCGCGAGCACGCTTCCGTACAGCACGCGACACAAACATGTCTTCCTTGTTCTACAATTCCATATTTGCCAACCAGTCTACAAGTTAACTGCATTCACGATATAAATGTGATGCATGCCAAACTGCAGCTTGTGCTACTGATGCTTTGGTATCCCTAATTTCCTAGGAGTATGTTATGGATAACTTCCAGCGCCGTAATGGCAAACCAGTACTGATCGTTTTCGGAAAGCAATCCTGTAACAAAAAGCTTGGATAACAAATAAAGAATCTCCCCTGATCCAAATACAACTAATTTATGTAGCCATCTCTCTTGCTAATTTCTCCCCGCCCCCCCGCCCCACCCCCCCCCCATCACCCCCCAACACACATTCTTACGCATTACCTACATTTTTCTGCATATACATAGCAAATAACCAGCGCATACGGCTCCTTGAAGAACCGCATCTATAAAGCCTCAAACCGGCAGCCATTGATAGGGGAGTCTTTCTTACTCGTAGTTTAAAATACAAGTTTGATTGAACGAACGTATATTATTGACGCATCTCCTTCTGGTTTTGGGGAGATTTTTAAAACTTTGTTTTATATCTACAGTACAAGCACTGCCATTGGACTTATAAGCGCACAGGAGTCAGGACCGTATCTTTAAAATATGAAATACAAAAGTATGCAGGCGGGCAAAACCATAACCGCCAGACACACATGCTGGCAAGGTTTCAACGAAGCCTGCACTTATTAATATCAATTTGCCAACAAACAGTCGCAAACACTTACAACACGCTAATTACTTTCAACATTATGTTTACACATGATGAGATGAATTTTCTCAGCCAATACTTCCCCACATTGTAAAATTTATTCAGGGAAATGGAATATCTGCAAGTATGCTATTACGCTGCTGCTATAAAGGAACAGACCGCGTCACTGTGATCGATTGTGCAGATCCCACTAGTATATTCTCAGATTTAGTAATGCATTCGTGCTGCAAATGTCGCCAGCCAAGCACTAGATCAGTGCCTCGCTCTTAAAGTATTGTCTTCAGAGTAACGTGATATTGAGATAAGTCTAGAACGGACGGTGGTAGGCAGAGGATATTATTGCCAGTTAGACGGGAACACTAATGAATGGCCAATAAACCCACGGTGTGATAGCAACACTTATACGCGCATTCAAAGGGGAATGAGTGAGAATTATTTCACTGATTCTTCCCTTGTTATGGTGTGGACGTTATCCAATCAAATGAAAGCGCACATCGTAATACTCTTTACGGTATAGATATTTATTCCTAATTATAGAAAGCTGCCATCGGCGTGCCACCCTCGGGGGAGGTCGGACCACGCTGTGAGAGATAGAAGGTGACGCTGATAGCCAATGCTGGTTGGAAGGTATTTATGAATTTTATTCGGATAACTGTTGAAACTAATGTAGTATATGGAGCCTAGCGAGGATCGATAAAACTGTAACGAAAGTTGTGAGGTTTTGTGTGGATGTCTGCCATATCACACTTAATAGTTTGCTGTGCCATGGCTCTAATGTTTTTAAATGACATGTGTAGTAATTTTAGAAGGGGGGGACCTACTTAGAGATAAGACACGCGTTGTCAATGATAGGAGACAGGAACACGTAGTGACGAAGAATGTTAATTAGTTAAACATAGGGAAGAAATGTTAGAAGAATTTGCAACGATACTAACGTGTACAATGTGATTGTGTTGATAGTATTGGGAAAGTTTCAGATAGTAGATAACGGGAATTTGACGACTAATATTGATTTAATACCATACTGTGTATTGTCTGATACCGGTGAGATTAAAAGGACGTTAGATAAACACTGAGTAAAGTAGCCGGCTTCAGCAGATTCTTGCTATGATTGGCCCAGCGCTCATCGATCAAATGATTTGGAGAGCGATAAAGCCTGGGGAGCAATTGCACGCTATAGCTATTACCGAAGATACGCAGTAACAGGGTTGCTGCCTCCCAGCGACCTCAGACTTTACTCATTCGTTGGAATGCGATCAAAAAGGACATCCTGCAGAGTCGTATGAGGACCGCGAGAAAGCAAGAGGTTATTAAACCTGAAGTGCGCAGAGTGATTCTATACGGTATAGATTGTAATGTCAGAGCGCTCAAAATCTGCTACATAAGGAAAGTAACACCTAAGCTTATAAATACACGACTTAGTCTTATTGATTTGGAACGAAGACGCGCATGAAGAATTGGGTAAGATGCCCATGACAGGGTATCGGCGTGGTGGTCGCTTTGGGCCCTGGGAAAGGGCTAAGCCACGCATCCATATAGGGCATATATATCGGTCTTGTAACTTGACCTGTTGTCTCTAACATGACTATGTGTTGAGACAAGGAGAAAAAGTGGATTTAATGTACAGCGAATAGTGTGGGTCTTAATATAACCTTTGATGTACATGCTGGTATTGATGTGGATAGACAGTTGAGCTGTGGTGAAGATGATTTACAGCTCGAGGGAGAGAAAGATTGTTGTTCTGTGTCGTTTCGCGATGTGCTGTTGTAGGGCAATCGCCAATACAAGTAGTTTCCCTGCAATTGCGTCAGATCGGCGGCAGTGCGAATGTACCGTTGGGATAACTATTGGAGATGCCGCGATGAGGGTGTTATAGTATTATGAAGGGAAGATCGGAGGCCAGACGAGTTGGTAAGAGGATGAAATACCTTCTAGTAATATCAGAGAAGGATCGTAGGATGCTCAGCTGGTAAAAAGCACAAATATTATGCTGGCACCCCTCGCTCAGCAAAAAGGATTAATCTAGCACCATTGAGTAACCCCATAAAAAGTGAAAAAATGGAGAACTCTTGGATGTGTAGTTCGTAATGTATTGAGTAAAGACCATGGATGAAATATTCAGCAAGTGACTGCACAGATGGCCTGTGACTAAATCAAGTTGTACCAGATCAGCGGAATTCCCCGATCAAGTTAATTTCCTGGCTGTGAATCTCTATTGGGCCCGGATAGCAGACCTGTTCATGACCATAATGCCCGATACACTGCCGCCTATACATTTTGGCTTGATTCTGTTATTTGCTAGACTCCATCCTAAGTTGCTACAGATACCGCGAAGACGACACATGGAAAGGAAGTAGGCTCTGTAGATGTCAGTCATCTTGGATTCCATCTTGTCGACTGTGGAGTTTCCTTGGAACAGAGGACCCCAGTGCCGGTGGAGATGAGACATTATCAATATGTCGCATCCAGAAAAGAGCATTTCAGAAAACAAATCATTATATAAAGAAAAAAAAGTAAGGGGAATTTTTAAAGAAAATAAGGAAACTGAGAAGAGAGTTGTAACCTATTTTCTCAACCGTAGTCCAAACGTCCTAGAAGTAGGGAATAATAGCAAAGTAAAATTTAGTAGCGCGCCGACATAATTAACATGGGTGACAGAGAGCAGCTAACCGGGTCCCAACCAAAAAGCATATATGGCAAT